GGTTTTCATTGACTACCATTTTAGTAGTTGACAAGCTTCAACAGTGCAAAACAAAAGGAGTATCATAAGCCTCTTTATGGGACTTTTATGTAGATGTGTATATGTTTGTCATGTGAAGGGGTTGGCATATAATAAGACAGTGATTAAGTCGCTATTGCTAATCTTTGGCAGTGTGAACGAAAATATAAAACTTTTTAAGCTGTAGGGTACGTTGTTTTCAATATTTCGTCACAAAAGGTTTTCATGTCTTTGCTAAAATAGATAGGGCCTATGTTCTTGTATTTTATATTTCCAAAAATCCTGTTGGTAAATGTGTTCTTAAAATAATTTGTGTTTCAGAGGTTTCGCCTTAGACTAGTGTATGGCTTATAGAGAAGAAATGTGTCAGTAATCAGGGGCGGATCCAGGATTTAAAAGAGGGGGTTCAATTTTCAGACCCCACCCCCCAAATGATAGGGGGTCCTCCCCCGGGAAAATTTTGATTCCTAGATGGCCGAAAATGAGCTTTCCCGACTTCTGAGGAGTCTTTTAATGACCTTTAAGTTGTTCAAAAATGTTTTACCCTTCTTGAGTCAGGTAGTTTTATCTCATTCTTTAGGCCTATCGTAGAGAAAAAAGAAAGACAGGCAATATATTATTATATTCCAACAACATTGAATAGTTAGATAGGAGGCCTATCTTTCTTCCATGGATCGATGAACCGATAGGCCTGAAGAACGCACATTCGTACATAAATTATTAGACGGCGAACCAAAACAGTGTGTAGGCCCTATATTATTTAATTAAAAACTAGTTGGGCTAAGCCTAGTTTGTCTGATCTTCCAACCTATGCCTAGGTTAGCATGCCTTTTGTAAGCCATGACCCAGTTGTATTTTGTTACGTTTCTTCACAGAGGGGTGGGGGTTCGTCCGAACCCCTTGAAACCCCCCCCCCCGGATCCGCAACTGGTAATAAGCCTTTGATGATGTTGATGTAGCTAGTACCTCTTGCGCTGAGCAGTAGCTACATCAACCAACATTAACACATTAAAGTGGACACAGTGCACAGTAAAATGGACAAACACACACACCGAACATAATCTGAAAATTATTATTTTTGACTTAATTGGGAGTCTCTGCAGTGCTTGTTTGGGAAATTTGAGAGGGATGGGGGTTCACCAGGAAAGAGTGGGTTTGCTGGAAAGGTTCTCTTGAACCATAACCCCCCCCCCCCCGGCTACGGACCTGGAACGGTTCTTAAATCTGCATTAGGCCTATAACCGTTTGAAGTTATATCTGAAATTTTCGATATTCAACCTGATAAAATTGTGCTTCTTTTCTCTAAAGTATCTTTAAGTCAGGTGCATTAATCCGTTGTCGAACCAGGAGGAAGTTTTCATATGAATTTGTACGCGCTCTTTAGTAGCGCTCGCATAAATTGATAAAAGTGTCATTCTTCAGTAAAGTGCCATTTTCCCGTCCCTCTGTTTTGATGTAGTATAAATTTTAAAATATTAAAGGAAGTTTTATTTTTATTGCGTTAATGCAATCTCGAACATATTTGTTAATGAAATAAGTTGTTAAATATTTTAAAAGTAATCAACATGCTGTTTATTTTTCAACAAAAATCCTCCAAAGTCGCGCACTTTGCATGTCCCGATTGGATTTCTTAAAAATTCCCAATGTCATAATTTGTAAAATAAATAACTTAAATAAAAAAATGTACCACAAAAAGGTGAATACAATAGATGTCTTACAAATTTAAAATTAAAAATGACATCAATAGACCTATAAATACTTAAAATTTGACTTTTTTAGACTAAAAAAGTTTGTCCCTGAATTGTCATCATCTCCGTCACAATACTTTAAAATGCCATTATAGCTGTTAGCAAAATGACATAACAAATTATGGATCAAACCATTTTGATTGAAGGGGACCATACAGTAAGAAACAGTCCATTCTTGTACAGTTAAACCACCTA